TTCCTCCTGATCTGATCCCCCTACCATAATATCTCTTACCATAAACAGAGAATCTAAACCGAGGGAATCATTTTTACCTATAGAATCTATATCCTCCGTCTCTTTTGCCTTACTCCGTGTGACTGCACAGACAGGAAACAGGTGTGGATACTTTCTTTCAACTTCTGCAGTAGGACTAAACATAAGAGGTTGTGCACGCACTATAGGGTCTGGTACTACTAACTCTCCTGCTATATCATTTGCCATCAAAAAGGTAGCCCCCTCGACTGGCAGCGAGTCTTGAACACCTACCATTACCGATTTAGATAAGAGTTTACTCTGTAAGTAGATGCGGCATAAAGGCACTGTAACAGTACCACCGAATCCCTGAACTATTACACTTTCGCCTGTGTATGCTTCTTCAATAAAAGGGACGGCCCCTTTCACCACTACACTCTTAGAGGCTGCGGTATCCCTCAATATAGTCACTGGAAATGCTTCCGTCCCTTCTGATTTAGATACAGAGCCTTCAAACATGAACGGTTTAAACAATGACTGTGATTCCCCCTGACAGAATTCTTTAGAATATTGTGATCGGAGTACTGGATGTGATGCAAGGGCAAGATTGGAATACCGGTCGTCGCTCGCGTCGTAAGACTTGCCTTCCAATTTTGGGCATTTAGCAACAAAGTGTCCTGTTTTTTTACAATAAAAGCAATCCCGACTTCGTGTATTAGAGACTGTATTATGATTAAAAGTAACCTTCCTATTTGCACCATCCTGTTTTATACGACCCTCTAAATTCAGCCTCCCAGATACCGAGCGGGAAAAAGATGTCGAGGTTGGTCTTAATGTGCTAGTGTTACTCTGATGTATTAAACTATAATTCTCTGCTAAAGTAGCAGCTCTCATTAATGTTGCCACCTCTTTTTCACATAGGTACACACGGACATCTGGAGATACTCCTCTAATGAACTGCTCGAGTGTCACTAATTCGCATAAACCTTCAAATGTTGTCACTCCACTAGCTGCTAGCCACCGGTTGCGAAGCTTTGTAAGGGTATGAGCATATTCTGTAAAGGTTTCATCATCTCCCTTTAAACTTTCCCTAAATCTAACCCGATAATATTCAGCAGTGATTTGATAAGCATTAAGAACTGATTCTTTAACCTTAAGGTAATCATCTTGATGCGCCTCAGAGAGAGAGAGATAAGTGCTACGAGCTTTTCCTTTTAGGGCAGACTGCACTAACAAAGGCCAGTATTTTCGAGGCCATTCCATTGCCTTTGCCACGGTTTCGAATTGCAGGAAAAATTCCTCCGGATCCTCCTCCTCGAACCTTGGTACCATTCGGCTCTCCTTTCCCACGTCAAAACGCCCACTCTCAACATTATCTTCTCCAAAAGGACACGCAACCTTTGCCTTCCTTTCTAAAAGATCTAACTGAAACCTTCTCTCGCTCTCTCGATCCCTCAACCTTTCCATCTCTAACTCTCTCTCTAACTTTGCCTTCTCTAACTCCATTTCCATAATTTTAAGCGACTCCCGCGTGCTATTATCGTCACATAACTTCAGTGCTGACTCATCTAAGTGATCATCATCTACTAATGCATTAATTACTTCCTTTATAATTACTGCTTTTCTATTGCTTGAATTAATTTCGATTTCGTAGTGTCTTCCTAAGTTAATCCAATCACCCTTAGTTAACTTACAACCTTCTAAGTATTCTACCGATGGCTCGGCAATAAACTTATCCAATTCGAAATTAGCCATGGTAAATCTTTAAATTTAGCAACTTTCTTCTATTATGATAATAACAAATATCAGCAACCTTTAATTGGTCAGGCCCCCATTTATTATGAATATTAAATAATTCATT